TGTGCGGATTGATGAGGCAAGTCTTGAAAAGGTTCTTGGGTCTCCTGCCGAGGAGGTTCTTCTTGTCAATAGCTCACACGAGTGGAGGGGCAATGCCTAAAGAGGTCTTCGGCTCTCTCGCTGTTGTAAATGACTCGTGTGGGTTGAGAAGGAAAGCAAACAAGTTTTAAATACTTAATGAACTCACATGAAAGTATTAGTCCTTTTTCAATACCTATGATGAGTGGCTTACTTTATATTAATTTAAACTGAAATAAATTGCAAGATTCATATAAGCATTTTTGCATTGAACTATTTCATTTAAGAACTCAAATTTTTAAAAGATTATTCATTTATATTTTATCCTCAACAAATCTCCTCTAGCGTATGTTGAAGTCATTTTTTCATGAAAATCTATTACTTTGTGAGACTCGAATTTATGACTTTTGGTTAGTCGAATATTTAGCATCGATTTACATTATCTAAAGACGGGATTTATTCTCACATCTTGGACTGAAGCTCTCTTAATTTATTCTCCAAACACATTAGGATTTATTTATTCCTGATACTTCAAAAGACGAGAGAGATAAAACTAAACGCGACTGGACAGAGTTTGCTTGTCGCTCACCCAATGTAATACATGGGATCGGGGATTTTGAACGTTCGGTTGCCAGTATTGTTGCCAAGAATATCACTCCATTGGTCTCCAGAATTTCCAAGAATTCTGTATCCTGCATTTACTAGCTCTGTCCTCCTTTTAGATTTATAAGCCAATGCTGTGAGGCCCTTATCAGCATCTTCCCTGCACCCAAAATAATACTCGGTTACGATTTTTTGACACTTTTAAAAATTGACTATATTACTAGAAAAAATGCAGACAGAAAATAGAAAATGTAATTGCAAGTTTACTTGAGAATGAGCTTCTCCCAAGTATGGTAACCAACTGCCTTCAGATTTGCTATCCTGACCTCTCTGAATTGTTCTTTGGTTCCTGATAAGAAGACAATTTTGAACCCGAGACTTAACAATGTTCTATATAGACGAAGCGCTCCTGGAACTGCCGGTGCTTTTGCCTCTGCAACCCACTCGTTAAACTTTGTGGAGTTGTATGGTATTGCCCTGAGATCAAATATATTTAGTATGTTAGATTAGGTGGAAAATCAAAACATACATTGGGATAATCTCAATTGTCTTACTGATTGAGAATACATTTTTCAACCATTTTTTGGTCTTTCTCAACGTGGTGTATAACTCGCGTAGTGCTACGATAGAGAAAAGAAGTGCGCATACTTGCCAAGAATTAAACTATT